CCCGAAGCCCTTGCTTCCCCCCCCCCCCAAGAATATTTTATTTCAACGAAGAAACAAAGAGTACTTAGGGAGGGAAGCTGCCAGGCTAGCTTTGTTGACTTCGCAGCACTGTGGGAAGCACGTAGGGAGGCTTGCTACCGCGTTGAGCAACAGCGCCAGGACACGCTGGGCAGATGAACAAGGGCCCTCCATAGTGCACATTGCCGTCCCTTGTGTTGTCAATGGAAATCCGACTGGATGCATCAGTTAGTCGTAGTGAATTCCACTTCAATGTGTTGATTGTCAAATCCGCTCTAACTCGATTTTGATGGACGCTGCCAGCGGTTGCAACACCCAAAGGAGAACTTTAGGACCGTGTCTTGAGACATGAGCATTCCGGTCAATCATCGGCTGCGTGCAATGCAACAAATTAGTGCATTTATCTGTGACATGTTTCACAAACTATGAATTTAGGAGATTGGTCCCTTGGGTTGGAGACAGGCGAGGACCGGTCAGACTGTGAATGCAGGAATTTGTGAAGCCCATCTATACAACGTAGCTGTCAAGCACTGGAGAGGTGACAAAAAGAAACAATTTATGACTTATTTTTTATATTTCCACACACAATGAGATGAAGTTTGACGTCCACGCACGGAAATTAACAGATAGAAATTACGCGGAAGCGAGGCACTTGTAAACACACTTTATAGGGGAGCTTTCGCGGGTAGGAAGTCAAGATTCAAAAACGGTGTAGGCGAATGTATGAATCTGCGCCAAAGCAGGCTTTGAGCACCAGTAATAGTGTAACATTTCAGGACCTGAACGCGCGCTATCATAGTACGACTTGAGCTGGCCTGTAGCGTTGAGCTCGCGACGCTACTGGCCAACTTAACTCGAACTATGATTTTTTTCACAGGTTCGACGCCTTTCACCATTGTTCATTTTCTTTTGCGGAATAATTAGAGTTACTGGAGCTACCGCTACTAAAGCTAGGTAAGTGCGTTTGACCTCCCTGTCAGAGAATAGTGTATTGCCGGCTCCTCACATCCGGAAGAGTAGCGACTGTTCACTACCTGTATGGAACAATATGAGCTGCAACGAGTATATAAGCGACTCTAGAGCTCAGCGCTGAAAATTTGGCCAGTCTCCCACTAGTGGCTCACGAAGAAAGGATACGTTTGAACGCTGAGTGGGCGTTTCGCTGTCTCAGTTCGGTAGCGCTTCTCGTACTCATACCTACTGTGAAAGACGGAATAAGCCTCTCTTTGAGATCAAATGCTTTAAGCTTACCTCTCCTATCTAGTGCTTCTATCGAGTGCAGTGCATTAGACGAATTTTTGTAGCAAATTGCATAAGTCTACTAGCTAGAGTAAGATGCAAGCTTACACTCGCAAGAATCCCACAGAGTCTTTCGCGCTGTGGGCCATGCCATCAAACACCGTCAAGTCACCTTATTTTACCCTAGAAACCTTTAAATTGTTACGCACACATTCGAGCAGCGCATCTACTCGTTTATGAGCTTGAAATATTCGGGTTGGACACTCCAGGCTCCTTGTCTTCGCACCAGGATGACTCTCCCAAAGTCACTTGGTGTAGGAGATCCTGACCCGCGGCGTTGCACGCGAGCCTTTACAAACTTGCGTATAGCGGACAAGACTCGGTGAGCTTACCATTTGCAGCTGGTAAACACATTCCAGCAGCCAATAATTTAACAACACTTTACATAATTTAACAACACCTTAGGCCTCGAAAACATCACGCTTCACTTGAAAAAGCCTGGTGGCTTTGGTCTGCCCTACAAAGGCTTTCCGAGCCAAAGGGAGGAGAGGGCGTTCTCCACATATATGGCGTTAATCCTTGAGAACGCGCAGACAGCCAATATGGCTGCACGCGTGCCCCAAAACAACATGCAGATTCCGTAGCTGTAAATGTGAATCCTTTGAAGAGACGGTAAGCTTACAGCCCCATTACTAAATCCGCTGTGTGTGCAAATCGGATTGCACCAAGTCTTTGGGGAGCAGTCTTGGTGACTCATCTTCAGATTCGGGACCCGCTCTCACACCCAAAAGAAATCTTAGAAGCCCAACTAGTCAGAAAGAATGACTACAAATGATGTTCGGAAGAGTGGCATAGATTAACTGTTCAAGTACAGCCGTGAGTCTGTTGCCCACAAGGTACAAGGCGTCATTGCACGGTGCCCTCAGCCAGCGCACTAGTATATACCACAAGAACATGACCGGACGTCTACATAAGCAAAAACAAAATTTTGATTGTATCCACATAAGTTCAGTTCACCTGGATAAAGCATGGCCATTCTGTCAAAATTTCGCACCACATAACTCACAAGTCTAGCTCTGCAAAATATCTAGCTCATCATGGCATTATGTCCAGCATGAGCCACTTCGCTCAGCACGCTTTCAGCTCATTCCTGCTCTTAAAAATGTATGTCAAGTTTGCGTCAAGACTCCACAAGCCCGGCGCTCGCACTACGTAGCAGTAAATTTGTTTCGACACGGGGTAGACGAGAATCAGGGGCAATTGTAAGAGCGCTTAATGCGTGAACCGTCGTGCGCACTTCCCAATCGTGTAAACCAGCATCATGTTTGTCAGCCTTGACGGTCGGAGCACTTATTGGGGAGCAATCCGGATCTAACCACCACCTAGCTGACAACTTCAGCGATTTCTTTTTGGAAATTACGCTGATCCGGTGGTAACGAAAATATGGGGGCGTTATTAGGTAGCTTGCCCGGCAACCGTAAAATCTGGTGGTAATCTGAGCGCTTCGGGAGAAGCCCTACATCTAGTCTTTGTGTATCCTTCGAGGACCTCGAGTATGTCTGACGGTACCTCTGAACGTCTTCTGACCTAGGCCACTCGCCAAAATGAATAAAATTGAGGGTGGAGGTAGTTCATGACTTCACTATCTGCGTCGCCTCGAGGGGAGTTTGGCAACGAAATACGCCTTTATGTATTAGGGGTCCTCCTACAGTATTCGAACATCGCACAAAGCAGGGGTCATTGTCGCTCCATGAACTGATGGATGGCTAAGCCACTTTGCTAGTGCTCCCGTCCTAAGCTGAGAGCCAACTCTTTTCCATGCCTCTTTCACGCCTCCTCTTTAGCGATCCACAGGTTTCCCGAGGCAGCTAGCTCTGCTGTTGCTCCTCTCCAGCACTTCAAACCGACTGTGTCACCCTTAGTTTTGGCCTTGCAAAGCTCGAGTGGCAGGTTTATCAAGGAGTAGTCGTCTCGGACTGCTGCTGGTATGCCAACGTCTTACGTAACTGTCTTCCTGAAGTAAACCGAGCGCACCTAGTGATCTCTTTGCAACTGGTCGGCTGCATCTTAGTGAGTAAGTGCAAAACCATTGAAAATGCAAAAGCGTTGGGGCACCTTCAGCTTCAACCGTGCCCAACCTGCCAATTCTGTTCCAGCTGAAGTAAGCCCAGTGCACTAAAGCACCGCTTTTCGAACACTCCCTTCAATCGCCCCCTTAGTGGCGTTGTCCCAGACCTTCCGTAAATCTTGTCTGTACCATGTTGAGTAAGGTCTGCCCAGCTCAGCTCCTACATAGCATTCCTTGGTGGCCAAATAGGTGCACTCCTTTCTCTACACGGCAAAGACACCCAAGTATGCATTACGTAACACGAAGCGCCGTTCTAACTGGGTCTTTTTCCACTTGGATAGTGTAGCTTCTTGTCTATCTCACCCCGTGTGGCCGCTTGCGGCCTCGGTGACACTGGCGGCCACAAATGCTGGCCTGCCAGCGGAGCATTTGAGTCAAGCGTGATTCGAAAATCGAGTTCCATGACCTGAAGCGATTTAAAAGCATGTTTTACAGCCCCTCAATTTTTTCTGTGCAGCATTGTAGTTCTGCGCATTGCAGCAATTTTTTTAAAATCAATTAAACACACTGTTCGTAGAGTACTGCGAGTAGATTCAAGTTACGAAAACGATATAAGCAGGGACAGCTATCGAGCCGGATATCGCACAAGTAACTACTGAGCCAACACCCAAAGCAATTCGCTTCCAAGAAAGCAATAAACTAAGATTAGCAGAAGAAGACTTACAATGGCAAGAAATCGTGTTTGCGCTTCTCATTCAAGCATCCCTTAGTTGTCTTTCTGCAAGCGAGGGAGGCTCGTGTCAGGGGACCACGAGTGAAGGCGGAGAGCCAACCTAGCTGGCAGCCTATTTGAGGACGGCACGCTGTGGCAGACTATACGGATACCCGGAAGGCGAGAGAGGAATCACGCCTACAAGCCTTCGGCCAAAATCGCAAACAGTGAGTTGGGCAGGAATGCTTCTCACTGAGTCTCCTCTTTCGCCTGGTGTCGATGCGCCGTCACAGCTTGCCGGTAGATGCTTTTTCGCTGCCAGGGGCCCTGGCTGCATCCTAATGCCTATGGAGCAGGATTCCAGTGTTCGAACACGCCAATGAGAAGCACATATGAAAGAACGGTTGGAGCTGGCTTCATTGAAGGAGTTGCCGCGTGGAGACCCTCGTGTACGAGGAACTCGACGGGCTTAGTGAAGCATCTGTGGGGCCAGAACGCCTTCCGCACATGGCCTGACTACTGGGTGGAGGCGCCCACGTTACTTGTGTCCGTGCACGGCGCGGTATGAAATCTCGTTACCTTCTTGAGGCTTGACGTGAAATACTGCCTCCAAGTCAGATATCATGCATGTTTCTAAATAGCTCTCCGTTTTTGGGAGCCCTTTAACCAGCTGATCAACAACGTAATACCGTTTCTTGTACGATTAGGGGGACGATAAAGCCCCAGTCCTAAAAGTCGCAATGGCAAGAGCAACCGATCGTTCAGGCGAGCTGTGTGTTCTAGCGCAATGTTCCACCTTCTACCCTGGCCAATACACGCAGCTCATAGACGGCTCAACTTTTGAGTTTCAGATAAATCAGCTGTAAGTTTGCCTACCGTTTGAGAAAACGTAGGGAATGCAGCGATTGTTTGAAACAATATCACCACTGTGAGCAATACTGATGAAACAACGCTATCGAGAAACTAAGCGTACAGTATCTTGTAGCGGATGCCTGAGTGATTAAAACTTTCGAGCACCGGTCGGTATGGGATGCTCACGCATGACCCTGCATATTCTCGACTTCTGTAGGACCTGCGCGCCTCCGATGTGATGCCCGCCGCCATGCTCTTCCCTTTTCTCTGTCCTTCGCTGCGATTTTCTGAAGACCACACCCTGTCACCTGAGGCCCTCGTTGGCATTAGGCAGCCAGCCACAGGCATTTGGTGTCCTGGGTGAGCATGTATGTTTGAGGTTGTTCGAACGTTGGTCCTGAGATTCTTCGCATTATCTCCGCAGTGGCGTCGGTGGCACTTACCGTGGAGAGATACAGAAGCAGCAGCTGTGAACTCCGTGGCGGCTGCAGTCGCTGCGGCAGTCGCCACGAAGATGTCGTCGACGTTTCCGGCCGAGTCGTACAACTTACATAAACTTACAAACTGAGTCAACAACAATAGGCAGAAAGGGAAACCGAGAGCGAACACACAAACGCTGTAAAGGAAGCCAAAGAAAAGTCGGTCTTTGTTCGATTGCACTTAGCCTACTTTCCGTTTGCTTCGTTCACTTCGCTTACTTCCACTGGGACTCCGCTTACTCTCACCGTTTTAGCTCCCACTTGTTTCGTGTTTGTTTCGCGTGTCTTATGTTTGAAGTACGCGCAGCTTAGAGACTCCTGAACTGTTTAACCTCGGTGCCTTTCGCCCAACTTTTCCTACTATCGCTATTACCGCTTTTGGGACTGCTGCCTCTCCTGCTCCTCCCACTGCTGTCATACTACTACAAGACTGCTCCTGAAGAGCACGCATTGGCCACGAACGGCCAATCCCCAACCCTCTTTCAAATTTCAGTCAAAAAAATGAGATTAAATTAAATGCGTACCAGTGCTGCGGATTAAGTCTAGCACTGATTAGAGAGACGTAAATATGATGGCCAGCCACGGAGACACTTGTGTTTTAATAAGACTGTTGGTGGCAGCTAGCTGGCCCGCCTTAATCAAATAAGCTAGCCCTTCGTAAACTCTATTCTCTTCAGCACTGTCTCGGGGAGTGGGGTTGGTCCCAAGCAGCACGGCGCCAACAGCCGCAGAAAGATGCTCGCTTGCTGCTGCTCTACTGCGGACGGCCAATAGCAGTTTGAGCAAAGCTGATTTGAGTGCGGGATCGGACCCCAGTTTGCCTTTCTGCACTTCTGCCTCCCACAGTTCCGCTGCTCGGGCCTGTCTTCGTCTCGCGTCCATGTTTGCCCTGATCTCTACTGCTAATGCCTCGCTAAATCCACCTAGGTGGCTGGCCCTGGCATCGTCTACAGCGAGTTTGGTTTCTACAGCTGTGTTCTCAAGACATGCCAAGTCCATCGCCAGCATGAGCCGCAGAGTTTCCTCTGTCTTCTCTGTGCCTTCAAATTCGATCGCCTGCTGCTCCCGCAGCGACTCAATCGACTCTAGCAGTGCTTCCCGAACTTGTGTCCACTCGGGCTCCTTCACCGTTAGCAGCAGCCCGTGGTCCCCTGTGTGCTTGAGAGACAAAAAGCTCTGGTGAAGGTTGGGTGTCAACGGTAGCCTGTCTCGGGTTACGTCTGCTTCTCCAGCCGTGCATTCAGCAGTAGATGTCCTTTCTGAGGTGCGTGCGGGGTCTCGGAGGCTTGAGTCGGAAGGCAGAAGCGCGTGCTGCTGCTGCTGCCTCTGTTGTTCTTCATCTCGAATTCCTTGTAGTTTGATGACGGCTATGGGCACACTCATCGAGAATAGCAGCATCCCCGCAAGCAAGGCCGCTGTCATGCGCCCTGAGACACCCTCACCTAGACCCCAGGAAGCACTAATCGACTTTCTGTACTTGGCAGACGGTCCCCGCATTGCCGATCGTATCACCGATATCCGGGGGCTATCCTCGCTGCTGACTCCATCCAACCTAGAGTAACGGTCCCCAACGCGGCTGTAGAGCCTTGAGGCAGAGAAAGGGTAGGAAGAAGTACGATCTGCGCCCGTGGCCGTGACGGATGAGCCGGTAGTGGTCATCATGGTGGCGGTAAGCGTTTGACTTTGAGTCGGCGTTTCCGCCGTTGTTTTCTCTTTCATGCTGCGGTGGTGTGGTAGATGTGGCGGGAAAAATGATTAGCAGGAGAAAAACGGGGAAGGAGAGGCATGCAGCGCCTTCCACGCCCCTACCCCATCAAGAAGGGAGGGCAATCATGGGGTTAAAATGCAGATACCTTGACACTTAATTCAAGTCATAGCTCAACAAACAACTGAGTTACTTAACAATGAGCACGAGAGCGCCAAAGCTGGTCAGCTGTTCCCCGAAGGCCCCAGCAGAGAGATAAATCGGCAGCGGGCGAATTGGCCCTGTATGCACTTGGAAGTGAAACAACCTTAATTTTTCGTGCCAATTCTCTATTTGTAATTTTAATCTTGTTATATGTTCCATTAAGTAGGGGCGCTGCCGTAATTCGCGAGGAAGACGGCGCAGACTCGAAGATATGTGCACACCTCTACCTGTTTCACTGGTATCTGGCGCGGTCGCTCCCAATGCTCTTTGGACGTGGTTTGCGGATATCATGTGGTAAACGCAAACTGCTTCGTCCGCTGCAGCGGCACATTCCCGAGTAGTCTCCAGATTTTCCAACAAAAAAGGTGTGGAGATAACAATCTAGTTCTTGAGGATTTGGGCCTATGCTTAAATTTGGCAGTGGAAGCGTTTCCAGTCGCCGCCTCGATGCTTTCTCTCAGCTGCAAATCAAAACGCGCCGGAAACAGGGGGAGGCCGTTCTTGGGTCTACGTACACCTGGGAACACCCCGCCTCAGCAGCCGCCGCAATGCCTACATTCCAACCATAGCTCTGATTTTCGCCTTAATTCTGCGCTACAGCAGCAGCGCAGCAAAAACTGCGTCTTCGCTGCTGTCGAGCAGCGACACCAATCGAAGAAGCCGTTGCAAGCTTCATCGGGGGGTCCCCCGGAACTGAAGTCTGAAGGGATTGCTGCAAACGAAGGAAAAAGCGATTCAGGACAGAAAAAGAAGGCACCAAACTGCGGTCCAAGTAACAAGGGAGCAGTGGCCAGGGTGGGTGGGAGCAAGGAGGGTTGTGCATCAAAAGGGTGCCGCGAAGTAGGAAGAAAAAGAGAAATATGCGAGGAGCACGGGACAGAAAATGGCAAAAATCACTTGAAGAGGAGGCGCATGCGTTCAAGAACGAAGTTAAATTCGGTACAGGATGAAAGCACAGGCAAGGAGCACAAACCGTCAGACCGAACGAAGGCTGGCGGAGAAGACGCGCACGCACAGGACAGAACAGACATCAGTAAAATGGCACACCCAGCTCAGGAATGCAGCACCAAACGGCAGCAGCAAACACAGCAGGATGAAAGTGCGATAAAGCTTCAATTGGTGAAGCAGTTTGCATGTCGAGCTGCGGCTGTTGGCGCAAGTGCTGCTGCTACCAGAGATCGGCTACAGGGCGGTCGTTTTCGTCACCTTAATGAATTTCTGTACACGAACAAAGGGGAGGTGGCGTTTGCAGAGTACCAGAGGGAGCCCGAATTATTTGATATTGTGCGTCCTCTGAAGTATTATTTTCGCATCGTTTTGTTGGGTGAGGGGCGTAGGCAGAGGACACAAGGGTCTGTCAAGCCACAGGAACAGGACCTATGCTTCTCCGATGTTTGTGCTTTTGTGTGTGCTACCGCTGCTGCTGCGGCTCTTGCTGAACTTGTTCCTTTTGCTGCTTCTGCTTTTGCTGGCTTCAGTATCACGCGGGGTACCGCGCACAAGTCCGCCGTTGGCCTTTGAATCCTCTTGACATTGTGGCCGACTGGTTAGCAACGAAACCAAATGAATGGATGTAAGTGAGGCGTATGCTCAGCTGGAAGACCTGATATGCTGAGCCTGGGAAGATTGAATCTAGGATCGGCTTTTCACTACCGTTTTTTCCACTTATCCGGTTCATCGCCTGAAAGTGACCAGTTAAATGTTAATGTACGTGTGCTTTGGCTGATGCAGCATCGGCGATTTTGGATGTGGGGAGGCGGCATTAGCTCTCCGTTTTTCGGAGAGGTAGGGTGATGGTTGGAACGTTAGCCGTGGCGCTTGTTTCCAATGAAATCGCTTTTTAGCTGTTGCTTCTGTTATCGCCGTCAGTAGTGTGATACAGCTTAACTTGTGGCGACATCCACCTATCTAACTAATATCGTGTGTCAAGCACATTTGAAAAGATGCACGTTTGTTCCTCAATAGTGCCTGCTGCTTTTGCTTTCCAAATGGATCTAATAAGCTAAACTTAGTTGCATGTATTTGCCAAGCCGATTAAAAAGCATTTGACGGGCAACACGGCAGCGCATCATTGTATTATTGATGAGGGTTATCGTCCTGTGCTGCGTTTTACTACTGTTTTCATCTTTCTTGTGCGCTTTTTCTTAGAAAGTTTCACTCTTTCGACTTGGTTGCGGCAAACGAGCGGATTACAGCCTGCGACATTTCAAGTGTATGTATACCTCATACTTTCGCCCTCGGAAATATGTTTGTGGACAAATCTGCAGTGAATGCACCTGCATTTATTATAACTGCACTACTGCATGTCTGATTTGCCGTGTAAATAAAAGGAGTAGAGAAACAAATGTATTGCTTGCGCTCAATGCTGTCCTTCATTTCGTACTTTTCTCCCGTCACCAGTTGCTGTTTCCACCCTTTGAAACTAGACGAAATCATTATTAATTATGTGTGTTTATATCGTTGTGTACGGCTCTTCTACAAGTGACGTTAAGCAGTGATAGTAAACGTTGACGGGCGCGTTCGTTGTCCTCTTTGATTTTGCAGGTACCGTTGGCTAATGCCAGTTTAAACGTAGCAATATTCTGCTTGAGCTTGATGGGCAGCGATTGGCCTGCTTTCTTACGGGAGGCTCATAGACTGCTTAGACCGAGGTTAGTTCAGGGGCTATGATCCTGGTGTGGCAGGCCCTTTTAGTTGCTCGCCTCTTTCTCCCATTTTACGATTTAGGACACCTCTCACTGCGTCAGTTTTGTGAATGTGCACGCATATATCCAATCCTTGAAACTGTTGACCTCTCGGTCAAAGGGTTGTAACGTACGGGGACCCCACGGTTGTGCAGTTTCTGCCAGCCCGAGTGTTCAGACGTTCCGGCTCCGATTTTGTTTGCAGAGGGATTTTGATCATTGTTGAGGTGTCCTCCCGCATTCCATCCCAGGCAGATTTCATCGCAGCTATTGAAAGCTTGGGTTTTAAAAGCGTCAAGCAGGTACTGTGGCACCTCAGCATGCTTTGAATGCCAAGGTGTCCAAGGGAGGGGAAAGCTCAGTATATGAGCGCCTTAGCAAATTCCTTTCCGTTAAGTAAACTAATTTGATTTTCATGATGCTGCGTAGCTTGTGTCTTTAGCGTTCCTAACTTTAGAGTAAATTTTTCATTCATTTAATACAGAGACGCGCATATGTGTCATATGCGTTCCTGCTCATTCAGAGGGACTTGGCCTCTTTTTTTGTCCTATTGGAATTCTCACGAGAAAACAAAATGAGCAAAACAGGAACAAGACTTTCCCCGAATCTGCTGCAACCCTGCCTTTACAAACGCCGCTAGCAGCAGCCGCCAACGTTGCAGCGGGAAGTACTTTCGCATGAGCGCAGCAGCAGCGGCACAGCAGGCTCCTGCTGTTTTCCTGCAGCAAGACCAGCCGTCGTAAGAATTGCAGGAGTAGCTGGAGACTTAACTGCCTCATCTAAATCACTTGGGAGAATTATTTGCAATATACTTCGTTCCAGACC